AGCTTTCAATGGTTTTGTCCATTTGCAATGTTAATATATACTGATGACTCTGTAATGGTCTTGGGACTTGGGCAGACATGGCTCTAGCAGCATGTTTGTCTGTTTTCCCACTTTTGTCTGGTCTGTGATATTTCCTTGGACTGGGGCAGACATGGCTGTGGCAGCACGCTTGTCCGTTTTCCCATTCTTGCCTATTCTGTAATATTCTTTGGACTTGGGCAGATATGGCTGTGGCAGCATGCTCGTCCGATTTCCCATTCTTGCCTATTCTGTAATATTCTTTGGACTTGGGCAGACATGGCTCTGGCAGCATGGTTGTCCATTTCCCACTTCTGCCTTTTTGAATACATGCTGCATAAAACTTTCTTTTTGCTTTAAAAAAAAAAAAAATTTCCATCCAGCCCCAAAGACCGGACAGGAGCATAACTAGAACAGTTGTTTCGTGGTGAACAAAAATCACCTAGAAATTAGAGACCAGGGTCGCCTACCTAAATAACCTTGAAAATGACCCAGCCTCCTAATCAATCCCTACAGGGTTCTGAGAGCATGGGTGCATGTGATTAGGGGTGAGCCCCTTGCCTTATCTTTCTGAATGTCTTTCCAGGATGTGTCAGCTGCTTCATACATAATGTCATGGTTAAGAATACAGGCTTTGGAGCTAGACTGCCTTGGCTTCATCACTTAAGAGCTGTATGACCTTGAGCAAGTTACTTAACCTCTCTGTACTGTTTCTTCATCTGAAATATGAGGCAATAACAATACATATAAATAAAGTCGTTAGGAGAATTTAAAAATTAACACATGTAAAGCACTTAAAACAGTGCCTGCAACATGGTGAGCGCTCAATAAAGTTTGGCTACTGGAGCCCTGGTGGCATAGTGGTTAACAGCTCAGCTGCTAACCAAAAGGTTGGTAGTTTGAATCCACCAGCTGCTCCTCAGAAACCCTAGGGGGAAGTTCTACTCTGTCCTATAGGGTCACTACGAGTCAGAATCAACTCAACAGCAATGCTTTTTTTTTAATAATTAGTATCATTTATTGTTTTTATTAAAAGGCTCTTTGAAGAAAAAAAGCTAGTTCTAGAAAAAAATTACTCTGAAGCAGGACATTAAAAATACTCTTTTGGGAGACTTCCAGCAAAATGGCACTCTAGGCAGAAGCAACATGCCGTCCCTCCACAGCAAAGATCTGAAAAACTAAGCCGAACAGAGAAAACAATCCTGAAACCCTAAAACAGCAAACGAAGAGATAAAGAACTCAGCTAAGCACCAAATAGAGTGAGAAAACTGACAGAGAATGGAGAGCGAGGAGAGATTCATGCAGAGGTCCCCTACCAGCTAATCCAGCGCAGATCCGCCATCATGGACTCCTATTGGAGACCAGCAAACAGGAGGTACAAAACAGCAGCTTCACGGAGCTTCCAGCGGGAGACAAAACAACTGGTAATTTGCGATATACGCTTTCCCACTCCCCATCCTTCTTCACCCCCCCAACTCGGCCTCCTCTGCTTCCCGAGGCCACAGTCTCTTGTCCAGGAAACACTGGCTGCTT